CCATCCCAAACTCTGTGTGTGTGTGTGTGTGCAGTCTTCTATTTGTTGCTTCAGCATGGTTATTTGTTTGATCTTGAAAATTAAACACCAGTCAGCAAAATAGGCTGCTGTAATTAATAAATCACTAAGACAAACAGTTAAATTTACAAAATTTCTATAACTCAAAGCTGATCTAAGAGATGGTGGTGAGTTGTTCAGGAGTTGAGTTGTCCCAGAGGTGAGTTGGCGGTGTTGAGTCAGTGGTGATGAAATGTCCCATCCTGAATTTATTTAGTGCACAAATGCTACATTCAAAGTTTAAAGGCTTAAGTTCTTTGTTCTGAAGTCAAATGAGATTATAAGTGTTGTGACCAAGTAAATGGTTTAAGAAATAGCAAAACAAGTATTACAGATATATTATATGTTAAACAGTAAATACAACAGAAAAGTATTACACAACTAGTGAGTGCAGGTTGGATGACCCAGCGTTCAATCTATTCAATTGTTCCCCCAAGGCCTTCTCTCCTACTAATCTTATAGTAGGCGGAAGAGTCCAACATAGACTCTTTAGAGGGAGGACACCACAAACAATAAGGTTATTGTGGTAATAAAACAAGCATGCAGCAAGTGTGTTCACATCAGAAGTGTTCACAAGTGTGGATAGGTGGTAAGATAATTATTTTATCAGAACTTCAGGAATAAAATGAACTGACTCAGAGGTTTAAAATAAATAATATATTTTCATTTATTTTCTTTAGAGTGATGAGTGAGTCCTTTGGTATTTCATGTAGCAAAAAGTTTTTTTAATAAGGCAGATATTGGTCGCAGTCTGGAGAAATATCCATTTCGGTAGTTTGAAGCCAGATTATGGTAGGGATGGTAGTATTCTCAGAAATTAGGTCAATGTCAATGTACTGTGTTTTTCTCAGTCCTCAGCAGGGTGGAAATATCAGTATCAAATGTCACACATGGCTGGTTTCTATGCAGTAGCATTCTTTTTTTCTGTCCTTGCCTCATCCCATCTGCCTCTAGCCCAGAGATGTCAGGTTTATATACTTTTGACCAGGCTTGAGAATTTGGCATAAACATTGGTTTTGGCTAATATCAATACTCTCTTTGTGTCAAGTTTTTTGGATGGTCAAAATTATTTAATTTTCTAGCATTCCTTTCTTTTTCATTTTTTTATAATGGAAGTTGTGAGTGAAGCCTCCATGGTTTTTGGCTTCTACAAGCAGATAAAATGGTGAGGATGCTCTTGACCAATGCAGATGTGTTGCGCACATATATCAGTCATAGCGTGAGCAGGCAGCAAGGAAACATGGTGGTGCCAAAGTAGCTCATTTGGAGTTGTTTGCTTTATGACTTTAAGTATAGACTTGTCCACAGCCACATCAAGTGTTGATTATGTCAAAAGTTTGGGGGTAATGCTGTGAGTGAAAGCACCATCAGGCCTTGGTTCCAGAAATTCAGGTTAGGTGATCTGTTTCTTTGTGATGAACCCTGCAATGGCTGACCACAGGTACTGGATGATGAGGACCTGAAGGTGGCCACAGAGGAGGACAACCCAAGCCAAACCTGTGGTTGAGCTTGCTGAATGTGTCTAGGTTTCTGATGAAATAGTCAGATAAGGAAGGGCATGAAAGTTGAGTAAGTGAGTACCCTACACACTGTTGGAAGCTAATAAACAGCAATAAGATATATGAATATCTATAGATATTTGTGAAAATTTGCCACAAAGATTTGAGGGATTAACCTTGATTTTAAACTTATTGTGAAAATGAGATTTCTCATTTTGAAATTTTAGTTTGTAAAACTGTTATACCATACCTCTGGACTATAATGGGTATGTCCCAATACTTATAAATACAGTGGAATATACTGTATGTTGATTCATTGTGGAATTCACTTCCCAGTGTGCTTGTCCGGGCAAACAGGAACCCAGATGAGGCTATGCTAAAGGGTAGAGTCTTGTCTGGGGTGGTAGACAGCTACCCAACCCCGTTTTTACAGGGTCTACGAGGAATTTTTGCCCAAGCATACAGGCTCGGATACCCCACAATAAACTCAGCCTTGTGCAATATCCAACTGAGTAGGGCAGTTATTGAATACAGGAAATAACTTCCTGGTGTGGATACTCTGCCTCCAAGCAATAAACTCAGAGTCCTTGTGCAATATCCAACCCTGTTTATACAGGGTCTATAGGGCAGTTATTGAATATCTTCACTGTGGAAATAACTTCCTGGTGTGCTTGTCAAACTCTCTGCCTCCAAGCAGAGAGGTACCCAAACAAGGCTATGCTGAAGGGCAGAGTCTCATCTAGGGTAGGTAGACAGCTACCCGACTCCATTTATATGGGGTCTACAGGGAATTTTTTCCCGAGCCTATGGGCTTGGTTCACCCCACATTAAATTCAGCTTTGTGCCACATCTGACCACGTGGGGAGGTTAGTAAATATCTTCACTGTGGAATTCACTACTAAGTGTGCTTGTCAAACTTTCTGTCTCTGGGCAGAGAGGAACCCAGACGAAGCTATGCAACCCAACCCCATTTTTACAGGTTCTACAGGGAATTTTTGACTGGGCCTATGGGCTTGGATACCCCACAATAAACTTGGCCTTGTGCCACATCCGACCGCATGGGGCAGTAGGTGAATATCTTCACTGTGGGATTTCACTTATGATTCACCTTGATTCACTTCTAGCTCATTGCTAGCAGTTGATTATTTACTACACACCACTGACGAACCTTGTATGTTGTTTCTGTTATAAATATTATCATTCCATTTCCAACCTTCATTTTGGTTATTCTTATTCAGTAACCTTTTCCTAGGTTACAACATTTTGGCGATGAGGAGTGGCCAAAATACAATAAAAACTGAATTATTGTCCAAAAAAAAATATAAACAAACCAGAAACCCTGTGATTCCTATGAAAAAGTTTTCCTTCTCAACTCTCTTCTATCCTGGATATGACAAAGCCTCTGATCGGGAGGTTTTGAGGAGTGTGGAAACACCTCTTAATTGATTGTTGTTCACAGGTCCACCCTGTCTGGATCCCAGCTATGGGCAAACATTTAACCCCCAAACTGAGGTCAAAATACTATGAAAATATAAAAATAAATTTTTATAGTAATACATTTTTGAAAAAAAAAATATTACCAGCAATACATTTTTGAAAAAAAATTATTAACAGCAATACATCTTTTTAAAAAAATATTACCAGCAATAGATTTAACTCCCAACAAAGACCATCTTTAAAAAATATGTCAATGAAACCTGATCTACAAACTGATTTTTTACAAAAAATACATACTCTATTCATACAAACCTATCCTAAAAATCTTGTCAACATTGAGTAATGTGTGTGTAATGTTATCTTTTTTTTCTTTTTAAACTGGTTCGTAAAGGTTAGAGTTCAAAAGGTGTATGTGAAGTTTATCAATCATCCGTGTCGAAAAACTCTACGTTCCCTGGTAGTGAATGGAGGAAAGTTCGAACAAGTTGTTCGCATCAGGATGAGGAATTAGTCATTGTAAAAGTGTGATGTCGACGTTGTCGTAAACTCTACGTTCTCTGGTAGAAAAACGGAGGAAAGTTCAAACAAGTTGTTTGTAGAAAGTTGCAATCACATGAAGAGATTTGGCATGATGAGCCAAGAAGTTCACTAGGAAGTTAAGATATTTTGGCCCGCGTATGGGTAAGGGGCGTGAAATAAATGAGTCGACCTTTTAGCATGGTGACCAGGAAGCGACTGATTTGAAAAACACTGTTCGTCAGTGACGTCAGAGAATGCGCGGGAAAACTTCAAATCCTGTTCTAGCTGGAATCAGCAGCAGCCAGCAACTTCCTCACATCGGCAGCACATGGCTGTTTACTACTATATCTAGCCAAATGTGAAAGGAAGGGGTGCAATACGCGCGCGCATGTAAAAGTAGGTGGAATCCCTGCGCGGTCCCACACCGTAAAACAAAATAAACGAAATGCAATAAATCAAACCAATAAGTGAATATTTTGTGGATAATAATAATTGTTTTTTATGAGACCAGTAGAATTCTATTTAGAATTGCTATCTTGCCTAAATTATAGTAGACACGTTATTAAAATATATTCTATTAATTACTCAGGCTCAGACAAAATAAAAACCACATTTTATTGAAAATTATCGATAAGATATGGTATTGCTACTGAGTGGATACCTTGTTAAAATAAAATTTCATTAATTTAGAATTCATGGAGAAAGGTAAAATCTACATAGAATTTAAAATATATATCAAATTCTTAATGTGCAAAGTTTCAGCTTTTAAGTATGTATAGTTATTAAGTTGGAAAAGTTTAACTTTTGTACCTGAAAAAAAAGTGTGCCATTTTTTTTTTATTTTTTTTTTTTTCACACTATTATGACTGTATACTCCCTCGGCGATTTTTAATATTTTAAAAACGTTATTTTTAGAAATTTAATAAAATCCAAATATATGAAACTGGATTTATGCATTCTCTTTTTATTTTTTTTTTGATTTGTTTTTAGAATTGATAGCAAAATTATTAAATTATGACTTCCTCTTATTTCAAGAATTGGAGTGTTAGGTCAGGACTAATTTTTATTCTCACAGTCAAGTGAAAACAATAATGAGGTTTTTAAACAATTTCAGGAATATGCCAATAGTGTAACAGTTATCAATGTAGAGAGTAAAATTAGTAAGCCCACTTCAATTTTCTGCCTACTATGTTGCATTAACTTTCACACAAATACACTTAGGAAAGGTATAAATCCATCTCTTCTTAACTTCCCCCCTGCAAGCTATTGATTAAATAACAAGGCAAACTCTAGCCTTATTGGCAACCAGTGTAGGAGAAAGACAACCCTGAATTCCAAAATGGTTGGGTGTGGGACTGACAATTCAATCCATAAAAAAAAAACAAAAAAAAAACTACATTGTGGAAGTGAAAGCAGAGTTATCTACCTTGAGTTGAGCAGGCTTCATCGTCTGATGTAATCGCTTTTCAATCGTCGTCTTGTGTGTAGCGATAAAACGTGAGTAATCAATATCATTTTCTTTTTTTTTGTTTGTTTTTACCCAATTTAAAGAACAAAAAAAAATTATTGAAGGTCCGGTGTTACAGTTCAATCCTTCATAAGTTTAAATAATTGAGTTTGATTTCTTTTAAATTTGAAATAACCTTTGTTTTCTCATTTGAACCTTAACAATATTCTCGTTCCAATAAAAAAATATGGTCTCGCAAAAAAACAAAACTGAAAATAAAATTAAGTAAAACGAAATAGTAATAGATGTTAATTCTGATTTCTGAAGAAATATTATTTAATTTTGGTGGATTTAATATGAACTTACTTGGTTTTGTACTTTTATTTGTGTTATTTATCAAAATCATTTTTTATGCCGACATCATCCAACGTGTAACTTTGTCGTCTTAGAAAATCAACTTTACAAGAAAAAATTAAAAAGTTTAAATTTTAAATTCTGAATCAAACGAAAATTGTTAAACATTTTTAAAATATAATACATTTTTCTTACTATTAAATTGTAAAGTAACCAGCAAAAGTGACATTTTAATTTAAATATTTTCCAGTTCTTTTTTTTTAAAAATTCATACTTTTTTTTATCCATTCATTCATGATTTAAAAATTAATTTCGGATTATTTAATTAGTGACAATAACACAAAAAATAGTACAATTATATGCAGTTATACAATAAAAACTAGTTACTACTAGTGATTATTTATTTGGTAAATTTCTTTTTAATTACTTACTACTAAGTAAAAGTTACTGACTTTTTTTAAGTATGAATTTAAAAAGTTTTCTCGGCATTGTCTTTTTATGCAAAGTTATAGAAATGAAAAAAAATAAAAAAAAAGGATAAAAAATTAATTACAACAAGGTAACTGAAATATAATTTATTAAAGTTAAAGTACATAATCATTTTTATTCAAATTAAGAAGATTAAAAAATAAGTTATAGATTTTTTGTTTAAAGATATTTTTGTTAAAAATGCATCTAATAATCCGATAAAAATTATTTTCCTTTTTCACTTTAATAAAAATTTATGTTTGTTGTACGTTATTTATTTTTTAATTAATTTGCTTTTGTAATCGAAAAAAAAAAAAAAAACGAAAAGATTTGTCCAAAGGTTTTAAATAAAGTACTCTACAGATTCATAAATCATGAAAATTTTTCATGATTTTTGAATCTGTGGTTTTTCATTGAAAAACACAGGCTTTTCTTTTAAAAGTATTTTTTTTTCTAATTTAAATTGTGTAAAAATAAAAAAAATATATACTATACCAAGGATTCATTTTTGGAAAAAAAAAACAAAACTAAAAAAAACATTAGATACTACATATAACTTTTAAAAGATCACCAGTACGTAAATTAAAAGTTGGTGGTAGATTACCCACAAGAAACGCATTTTAAAAAGTGTTGACAGATAAACCACAAGTACCCAAATAATAAATGTCCGTCCCTATTCTGAGTTTCACAGAATTACATCCACACTTCAAGAGACTTACAGACGAGCGTAAGATAAATGCCTGATCTTAGCATTATAGAAATAAAAAATTATCTCTCAAAATCAAGCACTATAGTTAAAAAGATTGCTACCTAAACAACCTTATCTACCAGAATTAATCTCTTAGTTGACTTTCTTTTTTGGACAAAATACAATCTATTATATTGTTATAAATTGCTATATTTGTTTGGGGGGGGGATGCTCAATATTAAAGAATATTTGCAGATATAGACAGTGTGGACATAGGAATCAACATTGCATGATAACTGTCAGTTTCACATCTGACAGTTACTATGCAGTGTTGATTGTTTCGTCTACACTGTCTATATCTATCTACATGTTGTATCTTTAAAGAGGTTATAAACAGACAAAGGCGGTGCTTGAGTGAAGGAAAAGCAACACATGCATAGATGAAAGAAGAGAGGTTTATTATAAAAGAGAATAAACTACTGAAAGACAAGGAATCCAGTGTCAGGCTAGTAATTTCCGAAGCAAGGATATTTCCTTACCTTCTTGTGAGGCAGGATGTGGCACAAGGCTGTTTTTTAATGCAGGGGCAAAACCAAGCATGTAGGCTCAGGCAAAAATTCTCCATAGACTCCGAGTTAGATAGCTGGCTACAGCCCCAGATGAGACTCTACCCAAAGGCAGAGAGTTTGACCAGCACAGCTGGAGACAACTCTCCAACTAATTCCCAAAATAAGCCCCCAGGTATATCCTGTGCCCACCATACATAGCTACTGATATAGTCAGTCCACATAGGTGATAGGGAGTGTGGAACATTCCATTACAACACTGTTATTATCCATGTTTTTGATTATCTACATATGTTAGTGTCTCATGTAGCATATTTAAATCAAATATAAATATGTTACCTGTCAGTGAATTGAATAGATTTATCTGATGCTGATGAGCAGTGTATCTGCAGAACTTTAAGTTGGAAGATAAGTATTTTAAACATTTATTTATCTATTAACTCATATATTTTTTTAATCAATTTCATCCCATTCAAGGCAGTAAAGTCACTAAGACATAAGGGGTTTTTGGGTGTAAAAGAATTAGAAACAGAAACATTACTAATGAGCAGAAACAAAAAGAGTAATCTGGAGGACAGTAATTTTTATACATGTTTCACTGAATGTAACAGGCAAGGAAACTTTTATCATTTTTTTATTCAGTTGTTCTAGTGTTCTTATAGATATTCTTTAATGAGGAATAAGAGAGTGTAGAAACTGTTCCTAGTGATTATTGTCCCAAGCACTTTTGATCTTGTCGTTAGCCATTTTAAGGGGTTCATTGTTAATATATTTTTCATGATCTAAGCTATGTTTAGTGGTAGTACTTCTAAGTCATGTTGGATGGGAGTAGTAGTAGTAATTCCATACTGTAGTACCTTTAGAACACTGCTAACACATTCCAGTTTGTTTTCAAATCAAGAGATATTGAAGGTTGAATTAAACTGCTTTATAAAAAGTGCTTCCATTATCTTTAAACATCTTTTACAATTAGATGTTTTTAGAATGACAGTGTTATTAGTAAGGATTTTTTGGAGCAGGGATCGCTTAACTATATCACTTAAATGGGTTGTCAGTCTTCTACTTAATGAGATTGACCAACATATGTACTTGGATTTTTTTTTTTTTTACAAGAATCACAGGTTTTTATAGGACAATGAAATTGACAAACTACATTGAAGTTTTTAATTTTCTATAGTATATTGTAGGTTTTATAGGTTTGCTAGGATTGACAGGTGAATTTATCTTTATAATTTTTATGCATTTGGTTGCAGTAAAAGATATTAATGTTTTATGCTGTATTTTTAGTCTGGGTGTCATTCTATAATGTAGTTGAGAAAGTTGTTATTGTTAGCCAGTGTTTGTTGTATTTGTTCGTGGAAAAATATTTTCTGGGAAGAGGAGTTTTGGTGTATTTTATTTAGGAAGTTTATTATCACTGTTATATCTTTGTGGGCATTCACTATTATAATTGAAAAGGCGAAAATTATTGCTGGTTGATTTGTTTTTTATATAAGAACGTGTTGAATACGTTAGTGTTTAGTACATAAACATCAAGGGATGTTATTGTTAACAATAAGTTTCTAATTTTAGTACAGTTATTTTTAAAAGTGAATTTAAGTTTTCAATTTCTTTACTATTTTTTTGCTAATTTGAAAATGCCATTGACATACCTTGTTTGGTTGTTGCGTAGCTTGTTTTTTTTTTTTCTTTTTTTTTTTTGTTTGTTTTTTTTAAACATGTTTTCAATGTGTGCCATGGAAATTTTGTAGAAGGCAGGATCTAAGGTGTTACCCATGCTGCATATATCCAAGCAAATTTTGTTAAATTCAGCTTACAAGGTCTGTCCATTAAATTTTTAATTTTTTCCAATCTAAAAATTTATATAGAATTAAGCAACATAAAAGAAACACTCATGAACAAGAACTTCCCAAACCATGTTATTGAAGAAATAAAATTGGCTTTAAAGAAATAAAAGAAACAAAAACATAAGCAGTTATCTTAATATAAACAAGTAAAGATATCACTAAATTATTTTATTGTAACTAGATTATAAACAAGATGAAAAAGTAATTAAAAATATAATTCATTTGTATATAAAGATTAATAATCATAACAAACACCTTAGATTTATCATTTACTACAAAAAACTAATAACATCTGATCTAGTTATTACAAAATAACTCAGAACCTCAAAAATTCATACTATATAAAAATAACAAAGACATATGGTCCAGTGGATAAAAGCATTGGTTTAAGTAATCCAAAGCGTTGTGAGTTCAGTACCTAGCCACAACAGAGGTGAACAAAAAACTTGAAGAGTTGAGCTACTAAAGGGAAATAACTGAAACAGATATCCAGAAAAGGCATGGTATGTGGAACTTGAATAATCTACCCCAGTGGACTAAATAAATTGTTCAGTTCAAAATTCCAACGTATATCATCTGAAGAAAGCTGGAGGATACAGTGGCTGAAATGTTGCGAATATGACAATAAAGATGAAGGCAACATTCCAAACAATGTAAATAGTATAAATAAAAATAATGTTGTTTATGAATTATCATGTCCTTTGGGAGATTATATCTCCAATACTAATGATCAAAAATCATATAGACCATACATGCACCAAAACTCAGTGAAATTATATATATATAAAAGCTTAAAAGCTGCCCTATTGGGCGGCATTTAATAGGCTAGCTTTTGCAGAGGGATCTTGATTAGACTTTTGGCTTGTTCAGGAGTCCCTAAGGTTTTGCATATTTTCAGCTTTGGAAACTCTCCTAGCTGCCATTTTATCTGAATTTTCATTTGCACAGAACTTTCTTTTCTTCACCACAGCTTGGTTCTTTTGATTGCAATATGGTCCTCTGTGGAGATTTATTTCTGCAAGTCATACTACTGCCATATGCGATAGGCAACAATAAACTACAGAAGAACTCAAAATTAATTGCTGCATTTAAGTATTACATTAATATTTAAGCTTACCTTTTAAAAGTTCAATGATAATTTATCTACCGCCACTTAATTTAAAGACAATTTGATGTGTTATTTTTATTTCATGTGTGACTTTTGCTGGATTTCACAATTAATTTCAATTATTCCCAAATTATAAAAATTGTTATCATACAAAAAAATTGCAAATTTGCAAAAAAACCAATGAAAACAATTGCATTAATGAAAATTAAGAATCCAAAATTTCTGTAACATCAGCTATTGAAAATTAGAGGGTTGTTTCCTTTAATTGAAAAAGTGTGACACACTGACATTCACATTTATTATCTAGATATGTCTTTTATATGTATGAAACTAGTTATGGACAACCAGATTGACCACACCATATTAAAAATAATATATATTATAAAGTCAACACAAAGCAAAGTGACCTCATGCCCAACATTGTTTGACAACCAAGGTTGGCCATTTGGTCACTTCACACACACACACACACATATATAATCAATAGCACCTATAAAAAATGTAAAAATTACAATAATTTACTGGCATTTAAGGTTAGCAGAATTTCAGTCAAGAGAGTGCTCAATAGATAATTAGATCAACAATAGGCAATTAATAAATGTTCAAATGACTTAGCTCTTGACTAGCTGTAATGTTTCATATAACAATGCTTGTTTATCTGAATATCTTTTCCATCCCTTACCCCTTATCTCTCTCTGTTTTCTCTTTTGATTGTGTAACTTACTGTCCATTACTCCACCCTTGATCTAAAGTATAGAATTATCTTCCATTTTGGAAAATCAAAAGTCTTATTAAAGAAAACATGCCTCTCTTGAATAATGCTTTTGATTGCCCAGGCTGGTAAAGTGTCAGTTCCACAGTTTAAAAGCAAAAAAAACAAAAACTTTGACATCTGACCAAACACATGTATCCACTAAATATAATGTTTATAGTAAAAAAAAAATAATGTTAGATTAAAAAGAAATTAATTACTTAGGAAATGATATATTAATGTGTAAATGTGAATATAAGAGCTTTTAATTTATTTTTACAATGATAATCTCGGTAAAAGGCCCGAGAGCCACTTGAGGTAGCAGGTTACAGAGTAAAAAGATAACAGTTAACCCTAGATTTGAACAGGTTACAGTTGTACTGATCAGGGAAGCATCTTTTTAGGAGTCAGTTCTACAAAGCAGCAGTCTATGGGAAGTAGCTGCTCAAATGAAACTTAAATCTCACCAATGGAATATGAAGGGATGAGGGTGGTTCACTACAATGTGTGGGGCATGGCTGGTCTTAGAGGTAAAGGTTAGAACTGGTGGAACTAAGGAATGTAGTTCATCTGAACACTTTTCATAGAAATAGTGATAAAGCAGCAAGAGGCTTGTGACATTTCATCTGTAGGGTGGAAAATTTTAATCACCCACAAGAACACGGAGACACTTTTGGGCTCTGTCAAGACTGAAGAGTGAAGACTGTGCAGATCCTGCCCATACATGGAAGCAGTATTCCATCAAATGAGTAAAGTCTAAATAATCATGCTTGTATGATATTTCATTACCTTAGAATTTAACCCAGTTGCCAATAGGCATGTCTCTTGAAATGTACTTTCAGTCTTCTGTTAAAGTCTTTAACCATGGCAAATTATAATCATGACATGTCAATCAACACAAACACACATACACACAGCCAGACACAGAAACATACACATATACATTGTAATTAGTTCTGCTTATTTAGGTTCAATGTTAAATCTTTTTTTTTTTTTTCTCAAATGGGAAATGATTATTTAGCAAATAATATTGGTACAAGAGTTAGAAAATCTTATGTAAAGATGATATCAATTTGCTGATGTGATTGATGATAATGATGAGAGTAACAGCTTTGTTGTGATTACTGCTTGTAGAAAGGTAGCCATGAATTGGTAGTTTACATAAGCATGCTGTAACCCCCACTCTTTATCGACCACTGATGTATACCAATGACAAGGTCTTTTTGCCAAGATAGCAGGTAATAGAAAGAAGCACATAGAGAAAATGACTTGAACCTTTCACAAATGTATTAGATCTAAGTGAACATGAGCAACCTCAGTTGAAATTCGAACCATTCCTATTTCCCCTGTGTGTAGGGAAGTATGGATTCATCCCTTTCTTAAATTTATGTTTAGTGAACATAATAAACCTTAGCTGAAATTCAAACTGATTCTATATTCCCTGTGTGTAGGGATGTATGGATTCATGCCTTTCATAAGGCCATGTAGGCACTGATCAGTCTTAGGAATACCATTGGGAAAGGTATGAATGCATTTCATCTCCCCACTCCCTAGTTTTGGGACAAATAGCACAGCTGATTGGACTCTCCTGACTAAAGGTGGCAACCAATCTAAGAGAAAGAAAACTCTGAATTCAAAACCAACTTGTAGTGTGATGGGCTATATCAGGCATATCTTGCCCTATATGCATCCCCTGATGCTGCAGTACATATGGTGTCCCTAGGGCCCTAATGGGTTATGGGACTTATGATGAATAAATAAAATGCTACAAAATAAGTCTTGTTCATTAACTAATATTTTTTTTATTTAGAAAAAGACTGAATGAATCCATGCAATTTTTTTATCCATTAGTAATAACAGATGATTTTTGTCATATAAATACACAGCATAAAATATTTAAATATATTGTTTGCAATGAAATCAATTATTTTTTTTTTTAAATCTTCAATTAATAAAATGAAAATGACACTCAAATTTGCCTTTTTATTTTCAGAAGACATAAAAAAAGCCAGATAAAATTAAGGATAATGTCTTCCGAGGAAACACAAGAATTGAATCAATTATCTGGTAGGTGTTTTTTTTTTTTTTTTTTTTTTGCTTTTTTTTCTGACATCTTTTTTTTCTTTTTCTGTTTTTTTCTTTTTTTTTTTTTTTTTTTGCTCAGTTTTTTCTGACTCTTTTTTTTTTTTTTTTTTTTTTTTTTTTTGACTCTTTCTTTTTTTTTTGACTCTTTTTTTTTTTTCTGACTTTTTCTTTTTTTTTTTTTTTTTTTTTTTTCTGACTCTTTTTGCTTGCTAATTTTATATCTTGATGAATTCTAATCAGAATACAAGAGCTACTTTCTCTTATTATCCACTTTTTCAATTCCAATTTGCCAGTGTCATTCTAAAAGTGCATAAGTTAAGATACACATCTTTTACATTTTTTCCAATTTTTTAAAATTTATCCATATGCGATGATATAAACAATATGATTTAAAAACTTTTTGTGAAATTAAACCCAAATTTTAAAAAATCATATACATTTTTATTTGGAATCTTTTATCTTTAATGTGTTTTATTCATTTCATAAAAAATACACTTCTGCTCCTTTTAAAATTCACACTCAGAACTTTGAGTCATTACTTTTTGTAAATGCTACAATTTGGCTCAATCTGATAAACTTATTTTATTTGTGCTTACTAATATTATTAATAATGCCTGACAATTTTTATTACTTATAAATTTTTTAAAAACATGTCGATAAATATAAACAATGAAACTTACAAAGTTAATTTCAGTGAGTGTGTGTAGCTTAACTCTTATTTATGTGTTATCTGTGTGGAAAGAAGAATTGGCGAGTTGGGTACAAATTTCAGCCTAGTCTGCTGCATTCACTTTCACACTAATGGCCTAGTTTCTTCTCTCTAGCTATGGAATAAATAGCAAGGTAGACTAGGCTTTTTAGTCTTGGGTGGGTAGCAACAATTATGGGAGTAGGAAAACTTGGAAATCAAAATTTTAGAGAAAGCAATGGGGGGAAACTATTCCACTATCTTTCTCACAAAATCATGGCAATTCACAGATAATAAAGAAATACAAACTGTGGAGATCCATGGTCGCCTACATCCTAAACAGACATGACATTGCAAAAGAAAATAACACTCTAGTATTACGCCTGGAGAAGATCTACCATGAATTAAAATTTGTGGAGACAGCAACATGATAAGAATGGCAATTCACAGATAATAAAGAAATAGAAACTGTGGAGAGCCATGATCGACCATGCCATGGCTCAAAAAAGAAGAAGAAGAAGATCTATTTTTGAATTAAAATTTATGGAGACAGCAACAAAAAACTATTCAAGATGACATGGCAATGATCGACAGATAATAAAGAAATAGAAACTGAAGACCAAGAATCCCATGGTAATTTATTGACAGAATCCTAAAAAAATTACAGAAAAAAAAATCCTCAAAAGAGAAGGGAAACTTGAATTAAAAATTTATCGACAGCAACAAGAAAACCATATCAACATGGCAATAATTTAATAACAAATAAATAGAAACTGTGGAGACAAAAAAGGAGAAAATCTGGAAGCAGAGCATTAGTCCTGAATGGCCCCTGGCTCAGAGAAGAAGAAGAAAATTTATGGGACAGCAACAAGAAAACAAATATTCAAGATAGACATGGCAATTCACAGATAATAAAGAAATAGAAACTGTGGAGAGCCATGATCGACCAAGTAGTCATTACAAATGGCCCTGGCTCAGAGAAGAATAAGAAGAAGTTTATGGAATTTATTGACAGAATAAATATTAAGAGGATAGCAAAACTAAAAAAGGAGAGGAAATGACATGATCGACCAAGTAGTCCTGAAATAAGAAAAGAAGAAGAAGTTTGTGGTAATTTATTGACAGAATAAATATTACATGATAGCCAAATGACAAAAAAGGAAGGAAACTGTGGAGAGCCATGATCGAAATTCCTGAATGGCCATGGAGAGAAGAAGAAGAAGAAATGGTAATTTATTGACAGAATAAGTATGAGGATAGCAATGACACAAAAAAAAGGAAAGGAAACTGTGGAGAGCCATGATCGACCAAGTAGTCCTGAATGGCCATGGCTCAGAGAAGAAGAAGAAGATTTATGGTAATTTATTGACAGAAAAAGAAATCATTCAAGATGATATGGCAATGACAAAAAAAAAGAACTGGAGAGCCATGATCGACCAGGAAAGGAGAGCCATGACAAAAACAGGAGAAGTCCTGAATACAAAAATGGCTCAGAGAAGAAGAAGAAGAACTTTATTAAAATTTATTGACAGAATAAGTATTAAGAGTGATAGCACAATGACAAAAAAAAGGAGAGGAAACTGTGGAGAGCCATGATCGACCAAGTAGTCCCGAATGGCCATGGCTCAGAGAAGAAGAAGAAGAAGTTTATGGTAATTTATTGACAGAATAAATATTAGGAGTGATAGCCAAATGACAAAAAAAGGAGAGGAAACTGTGGAGAGCCAGATCGACCAAGTAGTCAAAAAATCCTCTAGAGGCTCAGAGAAGAAGAAGAAAAATTTATGGAGACACAAAGAAATATTAAGAGTGATAGCACAATGACAAAAAAAAGGAGAGGAATTGTGGAAATAATGATCGACCAAGTAGTCCCGAATGGCCATGGCTCAGAGAAGAAGAAGAAGAAGTTTATGGTAATTTATTGACAGAATAAGTATTAAGAGTGATAGCCAAATGACAAAAAGGAGAGGAACCTGGAGAGAATCGACTTTTGAATGGCCATGGCTCAGAGAAGAAGAAGAAGAAGTTTATGGTAATTTATTGACAGAATAAGTATTAAGAGTGATAGCACAATGACAAAAAAAAGGAGAGGAAACTGTGGAGAGCCATGATCGACCAAGTAGTCCCGAATGGCCATGGCTCAGAGAAGAAGAAGAAGAAGTTTATGGTAATTTATTGACAGAATAAGTATTAAGAGTGATAGCACAATGACAAAAAAAGGAGAGGAAACTGTGGAGAGCCATGATCGACCAAGTAGTCCCGAATGGCCATGGCTCAGAGAAGAAGAAGAAGAAGTTTATGGTAATTTATTGACAGAAAAAATATTAGGAGACAGCAAATGACAAAAAAGGAGAGGAAACCATGGAGAGCCATGATCGACCAGTGAATGGCCATGGCTCAGAGAATAAAGAAGAAGAAGTTTATGGTAATTTATTGACAGAATAAAGTATTAATCCTGATAGCACAATGACAAAAAAAAAAAAAACTGTGGAGAGCCAAGATCGACCAAGAGTTAAAATGGCCATGGATCAGAGAAGAAGAAGAAGAAGTTATGGTAATTTATTGACATGAATAATAAATATTAGGAGTGATAGCCAAATGAAAAAAAAGGAGAGGAAACTGTGGAGAGCCATGATCGACCAAGTAGTCCCGAATGGCCATGGCTCAGAGAAGAAGAAGAAGTTTATGGTAATTTATTGACAGAATAAAGTATTAAGATGATAGCCAATGACAAAAAAAAGGAGAGGAAACTGTGGAGAGCCATGATCGACCAAGTAGTCCTGAATGGCCAAAAATCAGAGAAGAAGAAGAAGAAGTTTAAAATTTATTGACAGAATAAATAACAAGTGAAGCCAATGACAAAAAAAGGAGATGAAACTGTGGAGAGCCATGATCGACAGATGAATGGCCAAGAGAAGAAGAAGAAAAGTTTATGGTAATTTATTGACAGAAGCCATATTAGGGAGTGATAGCCAAATGACAAAAAAGGAGAGGAAACTGTGGAGAGCCATGATCGACCAAGTAGTCCTGAATTTGGCTCAGAGAAGAAGAAGAAGAAGTTTATGTAATTTATTGACAGAATAAGTATTAAGAGTGATAGCACAATGACAAAAAAAGGAGAGGAAACTGTGGAGAGCCATGATCGACCAAGTAGTCCTGAAATGGCTCAGAGAAGAAGAAGAAGAAGTTTAGGTAAGATTTTATTGACAGAATAAAAAAGTGATAGCCAAATGGAGAGAGCCAACAAGTAAACCATGGCTCAGAGAAGAAGAAGAAGAAGTTTATGGTAATTTGACAGAATAAATATTAGTGATAAAATGACAAAAAAAATAGAAACTGTGGAGAGCCATGATCGACCAAGTAGTCCTGAATGGCCATGGCTCAGAGAAGAAGAAGAAGAAGCATTAATTTATTGACAGAACCCTATTAAGAGTGATAGCACAATGACAAAAAAAGGATTAAAATTTATGGAGAGCCATGATCAACCAAGTAGTCCTGAATGGCCATGGCTCAGAGAAGAAGAAGAAGAAGTTTATGGTAATTTATTGACAGAATAAATTAAGTGAAGCCAAATGACAAAAAAGGAGAGAAACTGGAGAATGATCGACCAGAATGGCCATGGCTAGAGAAGAAGAAGAGAAGTTTAATTTATTGACAGAATAAAGTATTAAGATAAGATCAAAAAAAGGAGAGGAAACCAAGAATGATCGAAAATTATTGGCTCAGAGAAGAAGAAGAAGAAGTTTATGGTAATTTATTGACAGAATAAATATTAGGAGTGATAGCCAAATGACAAAAAAAGGAGAGGAAACTGTGGAGAGCCATGATCGACCAAGTAGTCCCGAATGGCCATGGCTCAGAGAAGAAGAAGAAGAAGTTTATGGTAATTTATTGACAGAATAAGTATTAAGAGTGATAGCAAAATGACAAAAAAAGGAGAGGAAACTGTGGAGAGCCATGATCGACCAAGTAGTCCCGAATGGCCATGGCTCAGAGAAGAAGAAGAAGAAGTTTATGGTAATTTATTGACAGAATAAATATTATGGAGATAGCAAATGACAAAAAAAGGAGAGGAAAGATGGAGAGCCATGGCAATTCAAGTAGTCCTGAATGGCCATGGCTCAGAGAAGAAGAAGAAGAAGTTTATGGTAATTTATTGACAGAATAAATATTAGGAGTGATAGCACAATGACAAAAAAAAGGAGAGGAAATTTATGGAGAGCCATGATCGACCAAGTAGTCCTGAAGACATCAGATAAGAAGAAGAAGAAGTTTATGGATTTATTGACAGAAT